AAAGAAGTAATGGAACATAGTTATATAAAGGGGTGGAAACAAAATGTTACAAAGAAGTAATGGAACATAGGTAAATAAAGGGGTGGAAACAAAATGTTACAAAGAAGTAATGGAACATAGTTATATAAAGGGGTGGAAACAAAATGTTACAAAGAAGTAATGGAACATAGGTAAATAAAGGGGTGGAAACAAAATGTTACAAAGAAGTAATGGAACATAGTTATACAAAGGGGTGGAAACAAAACGTTAGAAAGAAGTAATGGAACATGGTTAAATAAAGGGGAGGAAACAAAATGTTACAAAGAAGTAATGGGACATAAGTAAATAAAGGGGTGGAAACAAATGTTACAAAGAAGTAATGGAACATGGTTAAATAAAGGGGTGGAAACAAATGTTACATAGAAGTAATGTAACATAGGTAAATAAAGGGGTGGAATCAAAATGTTACACAGAAATACTTGAATTGGTTATATCTTAACTTCGCTGTCTAATGATAACAATTTACTCATACGTTTTATAACTGCCAGATGAAATATAGAATTTAATAAGACACAAGGGCCATCTCACTTAAGACAAACTAAATAAATGTATGAGAATATGGTCACAGCCATATGCAAGATAAAAACTTCCAGTTATCTAATACTCTCTACAATAAGATTCCAGATACCTGATGATGACAAAACCTTGTCGAAACGTTGTACATTTGCCGTTATGTTAAACTTATATTAAAGTTTTTCTTCATTACCCATTCAAGCCGTCTCCAACCATTATTAGTCTCAAAGTGGGTTCCTCGTCATCGAATTTGTTGTCAATGGTTAATGACAAGATAGACGGTTTATCCAATAAGATTCCAGTTTGTTATCAGTGTTTCGTGACAAGATAGAAGGCTTATCCAATAAGATACCAGTTTGTTGTCAATGTTTCGTGACAAGATAGAAGGCTTATCCAATAAGATTCCAGTTTGTTGTCAATGTTTCGTGACAAGATAGAAGGCTTATCTAATAAGATACCAGTTTGTTGTCAATGTTTCGTGACAAGATAGAAGGCTTATCCAATAAGATTCCAGTTTGTTGTCAATGTTTCGTGACAAGATAGAACGTTTATCCAATAAGATTCCAGTTTTTGTCGGTGTTTCGTGACAAGATAGAAGGCTTATCCAATAAGATACCAGTTTGTTGCCGACAACAAACTGGAATCTTATTGGATAAGCCTTCTATCTTGTCACGAAACACTATAACAAAATGGTATCTTATTTGATAATCCTTCTATCTTGTCACGAAACACCGACAAAACTGGAATCTTATTGGATAAGCCTTCTATCTTGTCACGAAACACTGGTGTTTCGTGACAAGATAGAAGGATTATTCAATAAGATTCCAGTTTGTTGTCAGTGTTTCGTGACAAGATAGAAGGCTTATCCAATAAGATTCCAGTTTATTGCCAGTGTTTCGTGACAAGACAGAAGGCTTATCCAATAAGATTCCAGTTTGTTGTCAGTGTTTCCTGACAAGACAGAAGGCTTATCCAATAAGATTCCAGTTTGTTGTCAGTGTTTCGTGACAAGATAGAAGGCTTATCTCCCTGTTGTTTCCGATTTGTCTGGTGCAATTTTCGTGTGCAGAGCGCCAGTTTCCTTCCCAAACGTCTTTTTTTGTCTCCCAAAGCTGTAATCCCATTTTCACTGTACAGAGATAGATATTTTAAAGCTAATTCAATCACTAAATGTAAGTAAGAAATCTAATGTACCAGATGAACACTGAGTAAGTGTGTCATGACTTGCCATTACCCGTGAGAGGAAACACTTCGATCACCGTCCTAAGTATTATATGATTAAATCACTGTACAATATAGTACAGGTAGATAGTTCCCCATTTGGTCCTCTTCTTGAGATAGCGACAGTATTTATATTTATAGTGAGTTAATTAGGAGTTATGGAGTTGGGGTTGTATAACACGGTCCACATGCCCTTGCTACAATGTTGTTATTACAATTTGTTGTTAATTAGGAGTTATGGAGATTACTGTCGGTAAAAAGTAACAATGAAACCGTAATCAAATATTGTATTTTCACGAAGCCATACTTTTATTACAATATTCAATTGGAGATTTCTCAAACAGCATTAGAGAAATATTACTGTATTATATAACAACACTACACATTATTCTAATATAACTTACAACTTTTACAGTAAGGTTGTAATAAAATCATAATTAATCAGCAGTAAACTCAAAACGAAACATTATATATATATTATAGGTTTTATTATAGTGATTTCATGTGAGTTTTGACAAGCGCCAAAGCAACTAGGCTTAAGTTGTTATTCTTCTAAAGATCTCAGTTATTTTTATGAGCACAGATATGACTTTTCTGTCGTCTCTTGAATAACATGTTTTAAAGTTCGTATTCTTCTACATATTATTTCGTGAATAATTTAGTAAAACAATAAAACCATTTTTACTCATTCAGTTATTTGTTCTGTTTCGTTGTTCGTATTTAAGCACTAAGCTACACAATGAGCTATCTGTACAGTAAACACCACGGGTTTTTAAACCCGGATATTAGCGTTGTAAACCTCTATACTTACAGCTGTGCCATTGGAGGGCCACATGGCCATAAGTTAATTTCACAGTTTTTGGGTTTGTTTATAAAGAAGTTAATGAGGTATGTCCTTAAAACTTGAGGTATATAGGAAAATACCAAATAATCCTGGAAAAATTACCATTGGGTGGTAATTTTAAAGTCAGGCGTGTAAAAACAATTACTTTTAATAGAAACAACATATGACGACCTTAATAAATAAAACTACCATAGATTTGATTATATAAAAGAAGATAGAAACTCCAGCTTTTCTTTAAAACCACAGGAACTAAGTAAGAACAGGTCTATAATGAAAGACGTTGGTCAACGAGAACTTAGTAAGAACAGGTCTATAATGTTGGTCAACGAGAACTTAGTAAGAACAGGTCTATAATGTTGGTCAACGAGAACTAAGTAAGAACAGGTCTATAATGTTGGTCAACG